TGCGCCTCGCTTTAGCGTATTGTATTTCACAAATTTTCGTTTCAATTTGACACAAATCGGCGGCACAACAGTAAACTCCTCCATCTCCCCATCCGCCTCCTGCTCGGAAACAAGAGGTGATCAGAGCACAACATTATTTGTCTACAGTATGTGCTGAAAGTTTGAACACACTCTTGCACCGATGTCAGCATGACACACGAGACATTTGATTCAGCTGCGAAAGTTTTTACTTCATTAAGTCTGCATTTGATGGGATTCGAAAAGATTCGCTCAAAGAACAATAGAGAAAGGCTCACGTTTCAATCTGTGATAAATAATGTTGATAAAAGATATTGGACTGTTATATAGAGAAGCTAAGATGCAATTAAAGTTGCCGTAATGTATTCATGGAGAGGAAGCGAGTAGAAACAGAGAATGAGAGAGAGATAGTGAGAATATGGAAATATAGAGTGTGAGAAAGATAGGCAGTACGAGACATATTGCGTTAAAGTGATATAGAGAATATATAGAGTGAGAGAGAAAGAGATGTAGAGTGCAACTGAGATAGATAATGAGAGAGATAGAGAATAGGATAGATAGAGAGTATTAAATACAACGGAATATAGGTAGAGGAAAGTGACAGACAAGGGGACATCGGTGGAGTGTGTGAGATAGAGAGAGAGAGAGAGAGAGAATGAGATGGTGAGTGAAAAGGATAGATGGAGGCAGACAGGGAGATATTGAGAGTGGGAGAAACGAAGAGATAGAGATGACGAGTGAAAGAGATAGAAAAAGAAGGACAGAAGAATAATGAGAGATATGATGGCAAATGTGAGAAATAAAGAACGATAGAGCAGAAAGCGAGATGGAGATGGAGTGAGAATGAAAGAGTATAGGATATACAGATCTAGACAGCTAGAAATTGTGAACTAAAACTAAATCTAATAAACGACTTCCATTTATTGCAATTGCTCAATTGCCAGGAGCAAATGAAGCAAGAAATCTGCCGTCTTGGAAGATTAAAACTTAGACAGCGCAGAATGAATAATTGAAGCTTAAAACACTAATCCTTTAATGCCCTATCAGCAATATATATAGACTCAAATTTCTGTATGAATACAAAATCAGCGAAAGCAAAAACATCCTTAATAGAGAGCATCAGAAGCGTCTCCTTGATGCTTTGACTTCCGCGCGCATTATGCGTTTCAATTGACTGAGTAAGAGACTCTCTTCGTCTCTCTCCCTCTCTCTCTCTCCCACTCAGTCTGTCGAGTGTTTTCCATGCGATAGCAGCAAATACATTTTCAATGCATACAATTACTTCCAGTGAACTGCTTGCGAAATTAAAATTAAATTACGCCGCAGGGCGGCAGCAAATCGGAGGCGGGGCAGGTCGTAAAAGTTCATTAAGTTATGTATAAGTATGCGAGTGTGCGTGTGTGTGTGTGTGTGTGTGTGTGTGCACTCTGCTAGTTGACACGAAAAATGACACAAAGCAACGGCACCTACTACCAGCTATCATATATGAAAGAGAGAGAGCGAGAGAGAGAGAGAGCTGCTGTCCCACTTGTGCACATCATTAAGTAGCTAAGACAATCGTGCCAATCATTAAAAATCTGGGGGAGCATAACGCTTGGAGTGGCCAAGCGTTGACTGCAATGCGGACATCATCACTAGCTATCAACACGTTCCGCCGACCTGTCTACTACTATTGCAGTTGGACGCAGGCGCTCATGTTTATAGACGCCCTAGATTAGGTCTTTGTCAGCACATTTCTCGAGTGTCTGCTGTGTGGGAGAGGCCTTCTCTCTCTCTCTGTCCCTTACTCTCTTCCTTAGCGCTGTGTCTGTGTGCTCGAGTGGCAATAGCTGCTGAACAGAATCCAAAAGCATAAGCTGCATCGCGAGTGGCTGCCCACTTGAGCTGCGTGCCCTCAGCTGCTTGTTCCGGCTGGCCCATAGACGCAGCCCGGCTAAAAGAGGCTCTAGTCGAAGGCTAAGATAGGCATGCCCAAAGTTATGCATTGTGCGCCAAATGGCATACGATCGCAGTCGCTGACAGTTGCCGTTGCTGCAGTGTGCAAAGTGCGAAGTGCGAAGTGCGAAGTTTCAAGTGCTCAAAGGCATAATCGTCGCTTAACCGGTTCAGCCGCTCGATTTTGAAATGAATCGGTTACCAACTGTCTTGTGAGAAGACCATGGAAATATACTTGTTGGTTACTAAATCATTTTTGAGTGACTTTTGTTGAAGGCTTTCGAAATATATTATTTATGAAGACTGCATTTCCTTTTCATAACCGGTTCATAACGGTTTGATAGTCATATTTCCTATATGATACGTTAAATACCCGAAACTATTTTCTCTCTCTATCTCTGCATCTGCCCCTCTCTCTCTCTCTCTATCTCTCTCTCTCTCTAACTCACTATCAATCTCTCACTCTCTATCTCTCTCTGACTCTCAGCCTCTCTGTCTGACTCGCTTTCTCTCTCTTCCTCTATCTATCTTTCTCATTCTCTTTCCCTCATTCTTACCTCTAACTTCTCATTTCTCCATTACTCCCTCTTTTGCCTCTAATCTCTGTCTCTCTATCCCGGTCTCTTTTCATGTCTCCTACCCTCCTTCATCCTAGGTCCCAATCACGCCATCCAAAACTTTCACAAACTGCAAACTCCAGCTTGATCATATTTTAATTCTCGAGTATAGCCGATCTATAGCCAATTTATAATCGATTTATAGCTGATTTATAACATCTTATTCAAAGATCTGAAACATATATTATTCAATCCATGAAACCGGTTTCACATCAACCGCTTGCTCACTTTTGATAACCGTTTCAGAGCCAACCGCAACTCAGACGACGTTGTACAACACTACGTGGCAGAGCTGCAACTGCAGCTGCAGACTTAAGATTAATATAGACCTTTTTAATTTAACACACGATTTTTCAGACTTTGGCTAATTTAACAAGCCAGCCAACCAGCGAATGCCAAAAGCCAAAAGCTACAAAAACAACAAGAAATACAATAAAAATTATGTATATAAAAAAAAGGAAAGATTGAAAACATATATATACACCAAATGGGCAGAGATAACAAAAGACAGCAGAGGGAAAACACACACAAACACACTCTCTAGCACACACACACACACAAACACACTTGTAGCAGAAAAAAATTTCAAGTTGGGGCCACTATTGAAGAAGCCATTTGAAAATTTGAAAATTTTTTTGGCACAGGTACAAAAAACGTGAAAAATAAAAGCAAGGAAAATGAGAGCAACAACAGCAAAAACAGCAGGCGGCCAAAATAAAGAGACAAACCAAAGACCGCATTGACTCTTCAACTATTGCGGCACATACACATGTGTCTTTGTGTGTGCGTGTGTGTGTGTATGCGCTATAGGTTATAATATGTTAGCGTAATGCCGAGTGCCATTCTGATGATGGGCGGAGCCAACAATTTTCCTAAACAAAAACACAAACGGGGCGACAACAACACAAAAAACAAGTAAGAAAGCTCCAGTCGAGACTGCTCGACTAGGAGATACCCTGAGCCCTCCAAGCTGATATTCTAATCATTCTGCACTTCTTTTATGCACACATACATACACATGCATCCACACGCACGCATAAGCCTGCGCTCTGCTAACTGCGCAGTAAGCAGCGACTGCGCTTGGGCTGCGCTGCAGTGTGGGCAATATTATGAGAATTTATTTGTTAAATAATTTCTTTTGTAGACATACGATCTTAATGAAACTTTTAGAGCGTAATCATATGGTGAATATGTGTGTATATTCCAAAGCCCAAGTCTCTAGTATTTGAAATACGCTTTTTACAAAAGTGAGGGTGAGGGGGTGAATTTAAGGGTGGGGGGTAAATTTTAACAAAAACCGAAATTGTATAAATTGCATATAAGCATNACTCAGCTCGTCGCCCTGATCAAGAATATATATACTTTGTGGGGTCTGCCACGCCTCCTTCTGCCTGTTACATACTTTTAACAAAACCATTATACCCTGATTTCCCATTTTCAATGGGTTCAGGGTATAAAAAGGCCAATGCAGCTACACTCGAGTGTGGTTGTATGTGTGTCTGCGTGTGTGTGTGTGTGTGTGTGCAATGCGGCGGCGGTTGTGTTGGCGGCAGCACAGACTGCAACACTCCAAGTTGGCCACCAAAAGGCATCTTGCAGTTGTCTACTCCGCCGCCGCCTCCTGCCACTCCCCTTTTGCCTTTTTTTTTGCCAACCTTTCGAGTTTGGGCATCAAATTTGGTTAATATATGTGGCACAGAGTGCAGCCGCCGTTTGATTAGCCTAATGAAAACTATGCAGCACATAATGGGTGTACCACCACCACCTGACTCCCTCTCTACCCCCTTCCTAACGTTATGTGCCCCTTTGCACCGTGCAGCTGGCACATTCTCTGTGTCTGCCGCCAATTGACGTCAAATTACGTCGCCGACATAGCGAAAATCTCAAGCATTTCATCAATTACAATTTCAATTTAAGCAAAAACCCGTTGTCGTTCATTGTATTCGATCGTCAAATAAACAACTCAACTGAATAATGAATCAATTCGTTGCCTCATTTAAATTGCCCTATGAATATCTATGCATGTATACATGAATATATACGTTATATATACATATGTGTATCTATCTATATTGACTAATTGAATTGAAGCAAATTTTATACTGATATATTCTCTATAGATGTAAAGCTGATTTTGTATAATTCTTCGATTTGAGCCAGACTTCTTAAAAGTATATATATGCCTTATATATTATATATGCCATATATTTATGCTTTGGATATAGATATAGATAAAGAAAATATAGATATAGTTATAGATATATATAGATATGTATACCCATTGCTGTAAAAGAGTACATTACAGACAGCTCATTAACATAGAACTGTTAGCTCTAATGTAATATACATAATGCTAATTGAGTGCTTGCAAAATGTTCGCATATTCTAACTAATTTCTTAGATTCGTTTGGGATGTGGGCCAAGACTTACCTGGACTGGTCTGCCAGCTGAGGCCGCCAATGAACATTTTTCTATAAAGAAACAAACAAAAAGAGTGAATTTAACAGACATTAGCCAAATACAAATATATATAGAGCAAGAGAGAGAGAGAGAGAAAGAGAGGGAAACAAATGGAGCGTATGCATTAAGTGACGTAGTACAAAAGATAAATGTTTATACTATGAACAAGAAAAAAACAAGAGTAGCAACAACAACAAGAACTACAACAATTTCGACTTATATCTTATATCAATGATGTCTCGCTTCCATTGTATCAGATATCATAATGATGATGATGATGATGAAGGTGGCTGCTGACTGTTGTCTTCGTCATTATTTAAATCATAGAAAATAAGCCGCTTTCCCGGCATTGTTTTCAAGCTGCAAAATCTCACAGACCCAGCCGAAAGCTTACAAAAAATGCAGATAGAAACAAAAACAAAAGCAAAGGCTGCGACGACGACGACGGCGACGACGACGACAATGATTATGAAAACTTCAACAAACTGCAAAAGAGCGCAACAGTGGCAACAATGTTGCAACATGAATGGCAGGGAAGGTGGCCGGGGGTGTGGCATGTTGCTGCTGCAGCTGGGCAGAGTGGGTGGCTTTGGCGGTGCGACACGAAAAACGAATGTAAAACACACACAAAAATGCATAGAAACACAAATTGCAATGAAAAGCAAAATAAAGCAAAAGAGAGCGAGCGAGAGAGAGAGAGAGCACATGCAACTAAATGAAAATGTTAATAAAATGTGCAGCAACAACAACAACAACAACAACAGCAACAGCAGCAGCGGAACGCAAAGTAAGCTACAAGAAAAACTAAACCAGCGAACGGAAGAAGCGTCAACAACAGACAAGGAGAAAGGGGAAAAGGGGAGCATGAAGAGTGAGAAAGGGGATAGCTAGGAGAAGGCGGAGAGAGCAGACTGTAAAGAGGGGCAGAGGGAAGATCAGAGCGGGTAAGAGGAGGAGGCGCTATTCAAGGGGGGTCACAGAGGCAGCAGACAGAGGTACTGCGATAGAGAGAGACAGAGAGAGAAAGAGAGAGAGAGAGAACGAGAGACAACCACACAGAAGGTGGTTGAGCTGAGTTACTAACAACCTTTTCTTTCGATTTTTTTTTCTGTGGGCTCTGCAAGCACTTTAAATGACTTGGATGATGGCCAGTGGAATTGGGTCTAAAAGAATGAAAAAGCAAAAAAAAATAACAAAAAAGAACAAAAAATTTGTTGCAGTTTGCATGCCGCACAATTTGTCATTAATCAGTGTTTCGCAATAGTTTTGCTTGAATATTTGGCTATGCTTTCGGTTTTCGACTAAAAGGAACAACTTTTAATAGACAATACTCAAGCGAGAAACTACAAAGTTTAGATTGATAAACTATTTAGAACAGGCATTGGTAACTGATAGCAGTTGAAAAAGTTAACGTTGCCGTCTGCAGAGACAAAGCAGTAATCGAATATTATTATATATAAATTGACAAAGAAACTTATGGGAAATAGTTTTATTGCATTACCTTGCCTATTGACGATGAGGAACATCATGTAGATTTAGAGCAAGCCAGGGAGTAAGCTAAGGACAACATGAATGACAAAACCAGCTACGACAATGTTAGGTCTAAAATCGTAAGGTTTAAGTCAGGAGATCATGTCCTACTCAAAGCCCAAGAGAGGCATCAAGCCAAGTTAGACCCCAAGTGCAAAGGCCCGTTTTTGGTTGTTGACAGAGAAATGTTGAAATGGACATTAGAAGGTTTAAGGTGTGATGGGCATTTAGGGCTATTAAACTTCCACGGCTCGAAAGTAGTCATGTAAATTTGAATGAAAACATCGATGTCAATGTCCATCAATTTTCTCAAAATCAAGCATTGATGTTGGATTGATATATCGGGTTGAAAATTCGATGCATCGATGTATGATGTTTTAAAAATTTCCCGTTCGATTATAAAACGAATATTTCATCAGATGATGACTGCTCAATAAATACAAATAAAATATATATAATTATGTAAAAATGTAATAATAATTTTAATAAAAGTAAATATTGAAAATATTGAAAAGCAGAGAAGTAAAATATTTGCATTATTTTACATTTTTTATTTTACTTCTTTACTCATTAATTTTCTTTACATTAATTAATTAAATCTATTATTATATTTGGCATTAAAAAAAAGTAAACCCATTCGTAAATATACTAAATTTTAGTATTAACATTAGTCGATGCAGCTATTAAAGCCAATTAAAATTCGTCACGTGGAGATCAAATCGAACTTGGCTAGAGCTGACGTGGCCTTAACACGTTTGAGTGGTATAAAACTAAACTTTTGTTGTTGATTCACCATAGATAAATTACATCAAACTTGTAAATCCACGGAAAACAAAAGGCAGCGCTATTTATCAACTAGAAGTTAGACCAATTCTAATGCTAATTATTCCCACATTTTCCCAAGCACAAATGCCCAATATGAATCATGCTTTAAATATTCAATAACTTCTCTTTGGCTACATTTGCATACCTCAATTCAAACACTCTTCTATGTTTACCTTGCCTACCGAAATGAAATGTAAAACCTTCTAATAAACATATTCCATAAAAAAAAAAACTCTTTACCTGCACATGCTTCAGCTTCTTCAAGCCGACTTCTCATTCAGCTGGCTTTTCCAATTTTATTTGCGTTTTATTTTCAGTTCATTTTTCTTTTGCATTTTGCTATGCATTGAGATCATCTATCACATTTGATTTGCACTTTGTCGTCGCATTGAAGGCGACATTCAATGGCGACTCTTTTTCTCATTTTTTTTTTTTTTTTTTTGCTCTGATCCGCAAATATTTGTATTCATTTCATAATTTTTCAACATTTCTGTCAACGGGCCTCTCCCTGTCTCTCTCCCACTCCCTTTCTCTGTCTCTGTCTGTCTCTCGGGGTGTGCGTGTGTCAGGTAACCTTCGTACGCAGCATGCACCGTGCTGCTGCCCCCCTCTCCCCCTTTTTTTTGCACAGCTCCCGCTACTTATCCATACAAATCACAAACTCACAGCCATTGCCTCCCACATCAACTGACTGCACCAAGCGACCCACCACCCAGCTCCTCCCTCGGTTCCGCTGCCCAATTGCGGCTGCACCAAATAAATGCGACCTTGTCCTACACTGGCAATTTGTGTGTGTTCTGCAGCTCGAACCGAACGAAACGAGCTGCGTGCGAGCTCGCCTCTCTCTGCTCGCTTCTCTCTTCACGCCGCCCGCCGCCCGCTGCTCGCTCAGTTCGCGCTGTTCGGAAATCGCGTTGCTTGCCGCGACGTCCAGCTGCGTGACGCGTAATTGCCGCCTGCCATTGCAAACAACAACAACAACAAAGAGCAACCGACAGTCAATGCACAACAAAATAAGTGTCGATGCAGTTAAGGTTCTAGGCTAGCAAATACCCTGGATTTTCACCTGTAATTCGTATCAATACTAATGGAAATTATTCTTATTGTATTAGGGTTAACTATTAATATATAAGCATCGATAGAATCGAATCGAGTAATACGAAGACGAGCAACAGAAAATTGGAAATAAACCTAAAATTGAATAAATAAAAA